GGCTGTCAGCTGTCAGTTTTTGTTGATCACTGTGCTTCTAGAGCAGTGGTTCCCCAAGTTTGGTTGATGGAACAACACTATCAGCATCACCTAGAAACTCATGAGCAATGCAAATGCTAGGTATCAACTGTACTTCAATAAAAAAATAAAAGAAATAAAATAATAAAAAAAAGAAATGTAAATTCTCAGGCCTCATCTCAGACCTACTGAATCAAAAAGCTCTGGGAATAGAGCCCAGCAATCTGGTTTAACAAGCCCTCCAGGTAATTCTGATGCTTTGAAAGCTTGAGAACCACTACACTAAGCAATGATTCTCAAACTTGGCTGTACATTGGAATCACCTGGGAGCTTTAAAAACTACTGAGGCTTGTGTCCCAACCCCAATGATTCTGGCTTATTGGTCTATAATATGGTTTTCAACCTCAGCACTATAGGCATTGCGTGCTGGATAATGATTCACTGGGGAGGCCTATTCTCTACCAGCTAGATGTTAGTAGCCTCTGTCCTCCAACACAATTGTAATTACCAAAAATGTCCAGAAATTGCCAAATGTCCTCTCGGGGCCAAATTGCCTCAAGATGAGAAGTACTAGTCTAGGGGCATGGCCCAGGTACTGGGATTCTTAAAAGCTCCCTAAATCATTCTAATGTACAGGCAAGACTGAGAACTATTACTCTGGAGAGTTCCCAGTAGTGAGGAGCTCTGGATGTGCAGTGGACTAAGGAACAATAAAAGCTAAACTTTATAGCATTGAGTATAAAGAAAGAATAAATCAACCTGCAGTGAAGAGTCCAGCAGTTTGCCTGTAAGTAAAGTACATGAGCTCTAGGGCATAAATTTCACATCAACCAATGGGCTTCTTACATTTTTGCTTACTTTCCGTTTGTTATGTTCCAGAAAACTGACATAAACAGGTACATTGCACATAACTAAAACATCCCAACACAGTAGACATTGCTTTGTACTAAATATAGTGGTGGACAGAGATCCTGCTTTTGGATCTAGTCGTTCTACAAACAGGGTGCTTATGAGCATACCTTGTGGTACAAGTCCTTAGGTAAATCTGGTTTTGACGGGCTAAAAATGCAGCCTGTCAATTTTATATTGACTTTGACATAATCCAAATCAACCACACACATACATACGTATACATTCATATTCAATGTATACATTCATTTCTGCCATTTTAGAGGTATTTGAGTTTTCAGGTGATGATCAGGGACTTTAACAACATATATTTCAACTGTAGAAAATCCCCCAGGCTAGAATCAAGGAAAGGATCCTTCAGTAAAATCCATACCCAGCAGATTGCCCTCTGCTCCTTCAGCGATTGTTCTGTGGTGTTCCTCTGTATCCTCTTGAGAATGAGATTAGACCATGGGACGCACATCATGTTCAAGTGTCTGCTCTGTGGCTCTTATCAGGCTGGATAGTCTCATCACAGCCCAGACCGAGAGGTCTCCAAGCACAGAGTTTCTGGCAGCTCCTGTTTAACCTGAAGTCTTAAATAGAACAGTATTCTCCCACTTCCTCAAACGACTCATTCACAGGTGTGTGGTTTCTTTCAACGTGAGGAATGGAAATACTACACTGGGATGCTGATAAACAACTTTTAAGTAGAAAGTAAATTACAAGATGGATGTATTTTCAGGGCAAAAGTGGTAGTAATTTAAAAATATGAAAATATTGGCTTCAGTTAATGAGTTGGGATTATTAATTCATTCAACACCTACTATGTGCTAGGACCTGTGTGATGTCCTTGGAAGTTATAAATATGAGGGCTACATAATAGCATAGGCCCTTATATGGCAAAAATAAGCTATGACTGCCCCAAGGTGCCCAGTTAACCCTTGAACCAATCTAATTTGTCTCTTTGTCAGACTAGTTTGGTTTTTCTTTCAATGAAGTGATAGTAGCTTGTTAACATTAATGAAATCAACCAGTTCTTTTGCTCTATAAGATTTATCTTATACAGTTGCCTATCTTTTCCTATCCTAGTCTAAATTCTTTCATGGATATGCTTTTAAAAATCCAAACCTTTTAATTAGACAATAGAACTGCTTACCAAAAAAGTAGGCAAAAAAGATCATAAAAGAATGTTAAAAGGTATTATTTCCATATGTTCCCACTTTTTTTTTTAAGGGCATAGGAAGTTTTCTGGAAGAAAACACACTTAATAATTAACAATGGATGCCTTTGGGCAGGGATTTTAGCGGCCTTGATTTTAAGGGAGACATGCTTTTCATTACATGTTTTTATACAGCTTTTTACCATTTTAAATCTTGTGTTTTTAATTTTAAATGCTAGTAAATAACAGAAAGGATGCATTCCCAGCAGTCTTTCAGAAGTTCCAAAATATCTCTTCTAAATAAGAGAAAAATAGGTGAGCTACACTCTATGCCTCTTTGATTCCCTCTTTTTTTTTTCTTTTTTTGTATATGCTTTATTGCTAAAACAGAGTGAGCTGAGACTTGGAATGTAAAATTACCCCCACACTAGTTCCATGAAGAAAGAGATTAATAAGCAGAACCTGTTTGAGACCGGGTAGTTAATGGGGGCCTCTTTGAGGAAGCCACCTTTAATCAGAAAAGGAAGAAGTTGCCGCAGGCAGTCTAATTTCCCCTGGCTACATTAGGACAGTTACTTTCCATACATTCTTTCAGAATGAAGTGGATATAGGTTTTAGAAGTCTCCTTGTGATTGTCCGGAAATTTCCTCCAATGATTTCTTTCATTTCCCTTTGTCTTTAATTCCCAAGAAGAATCAAGGTCCACTCCAGGAGAAAAGAAAAGATAACAACATACATAACAAAGCATCTCCTTATGTCAAAGAAAGACAATTCTATGATCTCTTTGGTGCCCACCAATTCTATAGTATCTTTCCCTTCAGTCCTTCCTCTGTATCTACCCCCATCTGGCAAGCATGAAAAAGGAAAAAACTCAAGGGCCAGAAAGAATACATGCTCAGTTGTGTTTTTTTCTGAATCATTTTTCTTAGCACTTGTCATTTATTCCCTCACAGGACCTCAGAGTCTCCCTTGTTAAGCAAGAAACATCCTTTTCTCTGATTATTGGATGTGTGAATTGGGAAATCCATCTATGTGGATTTCAGGATCCTCTGTTTCTGAAATGAACCAACTGTAACAGCTAAATTACTCCAAAGCATATCCTATAACAATCCCTACACATTTCATTTACATCTCTGTAATACTTCAGTGGAGAATTACACTTGTAGGACAAAATACTAAACTCTATAAAAAGTAGTTTTCAGGTTTTCTTTTCTTTATAGGGGAAGAGTCATCTCAGAAATAGTGTTTTGTGTCTTGCATCAGCATTAACCAGCAGTCAGCAATGGTATAATATTTGTTAGCTTCATGAAAACTGTCAGAGTTTAGGGCAATGTTTCTGTGAAGAGCCCATCAATTGTTCTTGGACAAAAAGTGTATGTGGAAATTCTAAGAAGACACCCACCAAGACTGATCAGAATGCAAGGAAAAAGAGATGAGAGACAAAGTTGGATTAAGGACAAGGTCCTTTCAGCAAACTATTCAAAAGAAAAGGAAATGTGTTTTAAGTGTTTAAGAGAGAATTTCTGGAATAAGTCATACAAGGTCTTAGCCATAAAAATAGGATTTTAGGGGTGCTTCGGTGGCTCAGTCTGTTGAGTGTCCTACTGTCACTTTCAACTCAGGTCATGATCCCAGGGTCGGGAGATCATGCTCTGTGTCTGGCTCTGTGCTGAGTGTGGAGCCTGCTTGCGATTCTCTCTCTCCCCCTGCCCCTCCCCCGCACTCATGCTTGCGTGCATGTGCTCTTGAAGAAGAAAAAGAAGAAGAAGAAGAAGAAGAAGAAGAAGAAGAAGAAGAAGAGGAAGAAGATTTTAGAGTGCCCTATATTACTAAATTCAAAATGAGTATCATGTTAATGGCCACATTGACCATGAAATTAAGCCTTACATAGTCTTTTAGAAATGACAGAACAGAAATTCAAAGCTCAACTCAGAGTTACTAAGGCAATAAGTACTTTGCAAAAAAAAAGAGAAAAAAGCCCCATTTATCAAGTTAGTAGGATAGTGTTTCCTAATGAGTGGAGTAGGTTTCAATTCTGAGTTACTAAGCAAAAATTAGAAGGGAAATCAATACCATTTTTACTCTTGAAAAGACATCAAGTATTCAGCAGGGACTTCCCTTTTAGGTAGCTGAGCTATTATTCAAGCCCATGCTTTGGGTATAATGCCTAATTAGATAAATATCAGCAACTCACAGGGGACTTTATATTATTGCTACTTACCGCAGCCACTAGAGGGTATCCATCCTTTCCTTCCAACAAAGGTTTTAAATTGTCAACATAGAATAGATTTGCCTGCAAATGCCACAAACAGATCACAGTAACCACCTTTCTCCATATGATAAAGGGAAGTTTAAGCCTAAATAAAGAAAGGCCACATGTGACACACTTAGTGAAACAGAATCAGCCCTGTAAGCTAAATTCAAAATGACTTTAGGGTGTTAACCAGCTAACAAGTCAGTGCATCCTAAACCACTTCCTTCTCCCAGGATTCTCCATAACCTCTCATTCAGAGCCTTTGCTGCTTGTCTGGAGATAACATAATCTTCCAGCGCTGCTACTTGAAAACAAGCTTTACTCACGGTTTAATAAAAATAGGTAAGAAATGACTGCCTGCTTCTCATTCAAGCTGTCACCCAAACCCTAACCTTTTGCTACTCTTTGAAAAGTAGGCAGTATGACTACTTCACATAAGATCAAAGGTTCATCTCTTCTATTATTGTATTTATCATTCTCAACATTTTCCCAGATTAAAAAAATGCTACGGCTTTAAAATATTTTTTTTAATTATAATAATACTCTATCGCTGCCATGCTAACTGGAAAGCATAATGAATAATGAAATTTAGACGTTTGGAAGATCATTAGATATGTAAGTGTCCATGTATTCCATGCCAGCTCTGTCATTTCTTACCGTGGTGTCTCCTTTTTTCAGCTGCTGGCTGGGCGCTGGCCTTTTGATCACAATGACTTTGGCGTATTTCTTTGCAAGCTGTTCCCCTTTTTGCAGAAGTCCTCGGTGGGGATCACCGTCCTCAATCTCTGCGCTCTCAGTGTTGACAGGTAATGTGGTTCTTGCCCTCTACTCTTGTTACATTTAGAAAAACATTTTCTCAAAAAGAAGACAAAAAGCCTTGAGAGTTGGTGGCCAGGACAGTTGTTAATTAAAATATCAATAATTAAAGTGAATTAAAATATCAACAATCTTGCCCTACTGTTGAGAATTGCTTTACACATTTGCTGGTTATTAGCCATCTTTAGTGCAGGGGATTTGTATTTAGAGCATTTTGCCAGTTATAGCTATTTGGTACCCTATGGCAACAAAGGAAAAATGAACATATTAGATGGAAGGAACTTTGGAAAAGGAGATTTTTGGACATGCAAATCCTATATTTTCAATGGTAGATTTCTCATTAGAAAAAAGAAGATACCATTCGATTATATTTATAATGCTTAATTACTTGAGCTGAGTGGTGAGTACATAATACTGTTTTATTCTTCTTCTGTGTTTCTTTGAATGCCTGAAATGTTTCATAATTTTTTAATGTTATTTTTTAATGTTTATTCATTTTTGAAAGACAGAGAGAGACAGAGCACAAGCAGGGGTGGGGCAGAGAGAGAGGGGACACAGAATCTGAAGCAGGCTCCAGGCTCTGAGCTGTCAGCACAGAGCCTAATGTGGGGCTCGAACCCACGTGAGATCATGACATGAGTCGAAGTCAGACACCTAACCGAATGAGCCACCCAGGTGCCCCTGGAATGTTTCATAATTTTTTTAAAAAGGGCAACAACAGAAGCACCCCTTGATCAGATTCTGAAAAACCCATCAAGTATATCTTTCTGGAATTCTCCTCAAACATGGATGTTAAGACTTCTCTAAAGGAGTACTTCTAGATGGGATTTTCTTTACCGTCTAATTTTCATAGCAGGATCTATAAAAAGTGATGTTAGGAACTTTATAATACATTCTATGGAGTCCTTTTATATTGAATATTATCCTATGCAAATGTTCTTTAATGACCTATTTAATTTAGAAGAGGTTTCTATTTTTTCTGTCTCACACTCTGGTAATAATTCTATCAGAGCACCTGAGTCCCATCATTATAGACATAAAAGACTCACTTTATTAAAGAACATTTAAGTTTTTACAGATATCCTGTTATTTGTCATTTGCAATTAATTTCGGGGACCAAATTGTTATTGATAAAACATAAAAAATACTCGTTCCATTAGGAGTTGAAAATTATAATGGTATTCTTATTATAAATTTAAGCCTGTAATAACTGTGAAACACAAACCAAAATGTTTAGTAGTGTTATTAAAAATAAATGTATTGCGGGGTGCCTGGGTGGCTCAGTCGGTTAAGCGTCCAACTTCTGCTCAGGTCATGATCTCGCAGTTCATGGGTTCGAGCCCCATGTGGGGCTCTGCGCTGATAGCTCAGAGCCTGGAGCCTGCTTTGGATTCTGTGTCTCCCTCTCTCTCTCTCTCTGACCCTCCCCTGCTTGTGCTCTGTCTGTCTAAAATAAATAAATATTAAAATTAAATAAATAAATAAATAAATATAAATGTCTTGCAAAAAAATGTAATGCTGAAATTAAAACACAAAAAATTCTTTTAGTAGTTTAAAACATAGTGATGTGTTTGACAAAAATGCTGCTACAGCAATGGTAAACACAAAGATCAGAGATCACTTCTCCCTTATTAGTAGGATTCTCAGTAATTTCTAAGAAAACCTGAGGTCTATGTAGTTTTCTTCTGCATCATATCAGACATTAAGGGCTGCAGTATTAAAACATTTACACGGTGCAGGTGGCCACTGTATCACTTCCACCTGACTAAATAATAGACTGTGTTACTTGTGGCCATCTCCTAAAAAGTTGAGTAAGCATTTATAATCTGGATTTTATTCACTAATGAATTCTCACTCTGCTGCTCCTACCCTAGCATTCCACTAACATCATTTTCCTCTTATATCCAAAGTGTCGTACTTTCTAAAAATTAAAGCATTTAAATTGTATATGTGACATGACTAATGTAAGATTTTTCTTGTATTTGCCAAGTTGTACATTTAGAGATATAGCTATATAGTCTTATTACAATATTCAATTAAATTTTTAATTATAATATAACTCTAAAATCCACATGGGGCAAAGATATAAGAAAATAATCATGATAGTTTAAAAAACAATTATGTTTCCTACGTACATACTCTTCCTATATAATAGTGTTAAATGTTATAAAGCTACAGTATTTAAAGCAGTGTGGCACGTGTATATAAATATACTGAGAAATAAATGGGAAAGCCAGAAACAGGTGTTACAGTGTATGAGAACATAATACAGGCCGAAATCACTTTTGTAATGGAGAAAGGAAAGATCATCAATAAACAGTGCTATTTAGTCATCTGAGGGAAAAAGCATGTTAAAGTCTTATCTTGTTATTGTATGTCAATAATAATATTTATAATAATTACCACTTGTTGAGTACTAGTATGTACTGGGCCCTGCTAAAAATACAGAAATTAGTTTACTTAATCCTTACAACACCACCTTGTGATAGTACTGTAATTATCCTCATTTTATAGGTGAGGAGTCTGAGGTTGAAAGAGGTTAACGAAGGCCATTTGGCTACCAAATGTTGGAGGCAGTAATCAAATATAAGTGGTCTGCCTTTTTACCACTATGCTTCAGCATGTAAAAACTCAAGCCATATAGAAGAAAATAGACTAATATCTTTTTGATCACTGGAAAAGGAGGGCTTTGGAACTTAAAAAAGATGGCATAAATTCTGAATATAATTATTAAAAGGATTTCAGGAGATAAAGTTTGAAAATATGAATATCAAACATTCATAAATTTAAAAAACAAATATAGCAATAAGCTGGGGGAAATATTTGCAGCAAATACTTGTAGCAAAAGCTACAACATGTTAATATTCTTGGTAATTAAAGAGGCCATACAGATAGTCATTAAAATCATAAGACTTCCATATAAAAAGAGCACAAATATAAAAATACCAATGAAGAAGTTTGAATGATTAATTAGCATATGAATAATGTTCATGTAATCAAAGAAATTCTAATTAAGAACATGTTTCTTAATATCTGGTGGGAGTAGAGATTTAAACACCCCTTCAGGGGGGCACCTGGGTGGCTTAGTTGGTTGGGTGTCCAACTTGGACTCAGGTCATGATCTCATGGTTCGTGGGTTTGAGCCCCATGTCGGGCTCTGTGCTGACAGCTTAGAGCCTGGAGCCTGTTTTAGATTTTGTGTCTCCCTCTCTCTCTCTCTCTCTCTCTCTCTCTCTCTCTCTGCCCCTCCCCTGCTCATGCTCTGTCTCTCTCTCTCTCTCTCTCTCTCTCAAAAATAAATAAACATTAAAAAAATAAAATAAAATAAACAGCCCTTCAGGAAGATAAAAATCCTGTATACACTTTTGCCTTCTGACCTGGTAATTACAATTTTTAGGATTGATTCTGAGAAAACATTCCAAACAGAGAATTCATGCACAAAAATTTTCTTTACAATATTATTTACAGCAAAATACAGGAATCTTATTGTTCCATGTTAGGCCAATGGAAAGGAGGTCATATATAATTGACATGTACAGGTATATGAATATAAAATTCCTTAAAGGAAACATGATAAATATTATTAGTAGTTATATCTAGGGATGGGGGATAGGTTTTTGTAATGTTCTTCTATGAGTAGGAAAAAAATCTGAAAGTTTATTTACTTCTATTACCTATTACCCATTTTCCTTATTTATTCTATGCCATTTTATGCATTTTATTTTTTCTCATTTATGCAGCTCATTCCTATGACTGGTGTTCTATATCAAGACTAATTTTCTATGGGCAGGCAGCTCTAAAACACAAGCACATATGGGCACATAAACATGAACACAGAAGTTTGTATACATGGAGAAACACATGTATATACCCAGCCCAGAGCCTCTTCCATCCCTATTGTTGCCTTTACAAAAACACCATCATATTTGGGAAAAATAGCATTTTATCTCAAAATTAAACTTTGTCTCAAAGGCTTTAAAAACCAGGATGATAATGAGTGTTAGGAAAGAGGAATTTAGCATCGTAAAAGAAAACTACACCTCTGAGGAAACATCTAACTAAAAGCCAAAGCTAGATAAGATTAGCATATTACAAAAAAGAATGAGAAATAAAATGAAGACAAGGAGAATTCTTGTTTCCTATAAATAATAAAAATGTTTGAGATATCTAAGTATAATCCCCTGATAAGCATTAATAAAAGAAGAAGCCCAAAGAGAGGAAAGAACTAATCATCAGCGAAATGCAAATCAAAACCACAATGAGCTATCACCTCACACCTACCAGAAGGACTAGTGTCAAAAAGACAAGAAACAGTAAGTGTTGGTGAGACTGCAGAGAAAAAGGAACGCTTTTGCACTGTTGGTGGGAATGTAAATTGGTGCAGCCCCTCTGGAAAACAAAATTGAAATTCCTCAAAAAACTAAAAACAGAATTACTGTATGATCTAGCTATTCCAGTTCTGAGTATTTATCCAAAGAAAATGAAAACACTAATTTGAAAAGATACATGCACCCCTATTTTATTGCAGCGCTATTCACAATAGCCAAGATGTGGAAACGATTCAAGTGTCTATCCATGGATGAATGGATAAAGATGTGGTATATATAAACAATGGAATATTAGTCAGCCATAAAAAAGGATGGATCTTGCCATTTGTGACAACATGGGTGGACTTTGAGGGCATTATGCTAAGTGAAAAAAGTGAGACAGAAAGACAAATACTTATGATCTCATATATATATGGAATCTAAAAAACAAAACCAGCAAAACAGAAAAAAATGAGCTTAGAGATACAGAGAACAAATTGGTGATTGCCAATGGGCAGTAGGGGTGAGGGTGAAATGGGTGCAGAGGGTCCAAATTATTTCATAACTTCCAGTTATAAAAGAAATAAGTCATGGGGATGTGATGTACAGCATGATGACTGTAGTTAATACTGTGATGCATATTTGGACTTTGCTAAGGGAGAAAATCTCAAAAGTCCTCATCA